GGGGAACTTAACTTATTCCATCTCTTAACTTCTCCAGGCCTCATTTCCTCATCTACAAAATGAGTTCATTAGACTGGAATTGGGTTATTAACCAGGAATGGAGCTCATGACCTCTTGCCATAGAAAGATTTCATGAGATCTATGAACTTGGATGGGAAAAAAAATTACAACCTCTAATTAAAATTTAGCTTTTCTTTCAGTTATGAATTTTTAAAAAAGTATTCTGACCAAAGGTCCATAGGTTTCACCAGGCTGCCCAGGAAGTTCATGACACACAAAAAAGTGAAGCGATGCTACACTAGATAATCTCTAAGACTGCTCAGGGCAGCTAGGTGGAGTAGTGGGGTAGAGTGCCAAGCCTGGAGTCTTCCCGAGTTCAAATCCAGCTTCAGAACTTGCTAGTTGTGTGACCCTGGGAAAGTCACGTAACCTTGTTTGCCTCAGTTTCCTCATTTGTAAAATGACAAACCACTCAAGAAAATTCTAGATGGGGTCATGAAGAGATGGACAGGACTGAAAAATGACTGGAAAAAAAGACTGTCCAGTCTGTCATCCTATAAAAGACTGAGAAATGAAGTGATTAGTTTAAATTAAGGTCTCTTGGCTATTTAGTGCAGACCTTGCCCCAGAGCCCAGAGGTATTGTCCCCTCCTCTAGGAAGGGGCTACGAAGCTCCACCCAGGGACAGCGGTGAGGACCGTATTCTAAAGCCCACTAAGCAAATTACTGACTCATAGTTGAATTGACTAGAATGAGGCCGGCCACTTAGTTTTGTACCCTATTATCTTTCTCTAACTTTCTCACTGTATAGTTTGTCTTAAATAAATGAAGTAAAATCCCTTTGAGAAGAGTAGGAATCTTTACCTGTTTTTGAATTTATTCTTCTCTAACAAGCCACCCTCCATTTGAATATTTCTGTGGGGGTCCTCTACTGCTGTTGATTGCAATCCATTCTTGCTTTTCCATCTTGTGCTGGCCTTGTCTGTGCATTTCCATCTACCCAGCCTGCTTGGGAGTCTTCCTCTGGTTCCTTTTATTTCATGGCCATGGGAGCAGCAAATGGGCTGTCCATCGGTTTTCCCTCACTCTTTTTCAGATTAAACATAGTAAGAGGCAGCTGCAAGAGCAGCTGTGACTTGAGAGATTACAAGAAAGACCCCCTCTCATCCAAAATATGGACTAGGAAGACTTGGGTTGAAGCCCCACCTTTGACACATACTAGCTAAGTGACCCTAGTCAGGTCATTTAACTTCTCAAAACTTTGGGCCAGTGGTTTCCAAAGTAGAGGACCTTGCTGCTTCATGTGGGCTTTATCCCAGGGGCATATGGTCTGGCCTCAAAAGGTATGTGGCCAACCAGTGGGAGGTGCAAAGTGGATCCCATCCCACTCTCAAGTGAGGCTAGTCTTCAACTCAACCACACCTCTCTTTTCCCCGTCCCTCCCTCTACTGTGCAAATTTCCGACTTTTCCCCTTCTGTGTCTGGCATCACTCTTTAGAGCTGTTACAATGCAGGTATAACCTAACTGCTACCCAGGTACACACAATATCAGCTGCACAAGTGCCCTTAGAAAAATTGGCATCCCATCCACAGACTACCCATCTGCCCTGTACGTCAGATCATCTTGTGATGGTAGCAGGTGACCCTTAGAAGGTGGACCCTGGCTCAGGGGCAGTGACTGGTGAGTTAGAGCCCTGCTTCTTTTCATTTAGGTTGGGACAGAGTAATGCCCACAGGATGATCAGGCATGGGTGGGTTCCGATATCCAAAAGTGGATCCACTATTGCAGATCTTATTTCCTGTTACTGATTTCCCCTTCTCCCTTCAAATTTACTCTTCTCACATTCCTTATTTTTGTTGAGGATGCTACTATTCTTCTAACCACCCAAGTGTTTAGGCTTGTTACCATCTTTATTTCTTCTAATAAAATCTTGTGCTTTTACCTCTATAGTATCTCTCCTGAATGTCTCTCTTCCTCTCTAGTAAAATGGCAACCAGGCTAGTTCAGGTCTTCATTACCTCTCACTTGGACTATTTCATTAGCCTCCTAATTGGTCTCCTGCCTCAAATCTCTCCACACTCCAATACATCCTATACACTATTGCCAAAGTAATATTCTTTTAACTCAGATCTGGACATGTGGCTCCCCTCCTTAATCAACTCCAGTGGCTTCCTATTTCCTCTAGGATAAAATATAAATTCCATTTAGCTTTTAAAGCCCTTCCCATCCTGGCCCCAACCCATCTTTCCATCCTCATTGTACATGACTTTCTCTTTCAAACTCTGGGATCTAGTCAGACTGACCTTTTGTCTCTCACCCACAAAACTCTGTCTCTAATCTCTGTGCTTTGTCCAGACTACATGCCTAGAATGTACTCCCTCCTTACCACTATGTAACCTACTTGCCTCAATGTAAGATGATTTAGGAAACTGGGGACAGCAGTTGGGAAAAATCAGGAAAGGCTCCGTGGTGTAGGAGATGGGACTCCCTTCCCTTACAACATAGATCACACGTTGTCTTTTATGGCATGAAGCCTTTCCCGATTTCCCCTAAGTGCTAGTCCCTTCTTTTCTAAATTACCTTGTGTTGAGGTAGTTAGGTGGATAATATAGTGGGTTTGGAGTCCGGAGTTCAAATCCAGCTTCAGACACTTACTAGCTATATGACCTTGGGCAAGTTACTTAACTTGTTTGCCTCATTTTTCTTGACTGTAACATGGAGATAATAATAGCACCTACCTTGCAGGGTCATTAAGGATCAAATAAGATATTTGTAAAGTATTATCACATTGCTTGGCACATAGGTGCTATGTAAGTACCAGCTATTATTATTAACTACATATTTGTATCTATTCACTTTATATTTATGCTGTTTATATTGGCGTTATTCTAGTTGTCTCCCTTTTTGGAATATAAGCTTCCTGTAAATAAGAAGCTTATATCCCAATGTAAATAGGGATTGGAATTGCTTTATTATTATTTTTTATTTGTATCCCCATTACCTGGCATAATTTGGGCAAGTGCTTGATAAATACTTCTTGATTTGCAAGTGTTTGCACCTAGAGCTTTCTTATCCTGGAATATCCTTCTGCCATGTCAGAAGCCCCACCTTTGACACATACTAGCTGAGTGACCCTAAGCAAGTCATTTAACTTCTCAGTGCTCTGGGCCAGTGGTTTCCAAAGTAGAGGACCTTTCTGCTTCATGTGGGCTTTGTCCCAGGGGCATCATGGTCTGACCTCAAAAGGTATGTGGCCAACCAGTGGGAGGTGAAAAGTGAGTCCCATCCCACCCTCAAGTGAGGCTAGTCTTCAGCTCAACCACACCTCTCTTCTCCCTCTCCTTCCCCACATTGGTGAGTTCCTTTCTGGGCCTCCATTCTGGGGACGTGCCCAGGCCGGCTATACTTTATTCCTGTTTCAGCTTCTTATTCTATAGACTTCAGACACCATGCCCCTACATTGGTACCCCTTATCCCTCTCCTGCTTGTTAGCTTCCTTTTATGTTTTATCTTCCCCCATTAGAATGTAAACTGCTTGAGGTCAGGTCTGTCCTTCTTTTAGCTTGTTTTTGTATCATCAGGGCTTAGCACAGTGCCTGGTACAAATCAATCACTTAATACGTGCTTATTGCCTTACTGCCTTGATTTTGTGTGTGTGTTGGAATCGAAATTTCTTTAGGATAATACTCTTTCAGTGTATTCCCAGTACTAGTGTATTAGGCAAAGAACATGATTGTTTTATGACTCTGTGTACTGCCAGATTGTTTTCCAAAAAGATCCTACCAATATCCAAGGCCACTAACAATAAATAAGTGTGCCCGTTGCTATACAACCCTGCCAGCATTGCATTTTGACACTTGGGTTATTTTTGACAATTGGATGGGTTTGAAGTAATACCTCAAGGTTATTGTAATTTCCCCCCTGATTCTTAGTGAAGTTGCTTCCTAGTGATGTATAGAATGTTATTAACTCCTACACTAAGTGAACCTAGAAGGCTGTACTTTAAAATTCTAATGTCTTCTTTTTATACTTTTTTGTTGTTGTTTCTTCCCTTACTTTCAGACTATTCCTATCATAGCCTCATAGATTTAGAGGTAGAAGGGGGCTTCAAGGTCATCTAGTCCAATCCCCTTCTTTCAGTAAGCTTGTTTCTAGCTGTCTCCCCACCTTCTACTGTTCCGCTTTTAGATAACCAAGTGAATTAGAATTATGTGTCAAGTAAGGGTTACCTACCTGAGCACCTCTTCTGTGGAGGAAGGTACCTGGACTTTGGACAGCTCTTTCAGGATTCGTGAGCTTTTCTTGCCAGCTTCTAAACGTGAGGCTGCATGTGTTCTGGGTCTTTGAAGTGGCTGGAAATCTGAACCCCAGATAAGTGGGATGTTAGTGTAGTCCTGCCAAGAACAATTTCAGATGGCCTGCTTTAGTTGGCCTCACGTACAGGTTTTAATACACTGTGCCAAAAAGTCGGTGGATCTTTTTCCAGACTCAACAAGGCCCAAGCAATGATATAGTTGATGGCAAGCACCAATATCCAAAGAAATGTTGCCCAGACAGGGGAATCTAAAGGGCTTATAGAGATCAGAAATGTGGGCCAACTTTTTGGTAGTGGTGACAGCACCAATAAACTCTCGGTTATATATACTATTTTGTCTGACCCCTTCTGGGCCTTCCTCCTGCTTTAAAACTGGAGCATAAAGAGGGAGACCAAACAGATAACTTTGTGGTAGGGGTATCCAGAATACTTCCTATGGGGCAAGTTTTCTTTCCCTCCTCCCCCCCACAGTTAGTGATGTAAGATATATTGGGCAGGGGAGGGCAGGGTCACAATGTTTAAAAAAAGATTGAGAATGGATTTTCTAAAAGAGCCAGGGGCTCATTTTTTGTTGTTGTTTTAATTTGTACTTTCTCTGCAGCCTGATTTCTTTCCAGGTCCAGGCTTTGAGGACTTGTGCTAATTTGTACGGCCATCCTAACACCTCTTCCCATCCATCGGCAGGTGCCTTAGCTCCAAGCCTCAATGAGGAGCCCAAACATGGCGACCTTCAAACAGCAGAAGGTGGAGGATGTATATGAAATTGGAGAAGAGTTGGGAAGGTAAGAGCCTGTGGACTGTGTGTGGGGACCAGAGAGGATAACAGATGCAGCCAATTCTGTTTACCCTTGTCTTATTGCAACTGTAAACCAGTTTCCCAGGGCCCTGCCTGGTAACTGCACTCAGACACTGGTGTGTGGTTTTAAAAATGAATGTTCCCAGCCTAAGGTTTATTTTCAGCTTTCAGGTGAGCCTTAAGGAACATGGCCACATGTTTGCCTCTTTGGGAATTTGCTACTAAAGTCAAAGGGACTGGAATGGTAGACTTCTCTATTCTCAAGGCAGTATAGTTGACTGTTTCGGTATGGTCAAACTAGTCTCATATTGTTATTAATTTTTAAACAGTTTCTCATTAAGAGCTCTGACTAGGCTCAGGGCAGAGACCTGACCTGTTGATCTGTTTCTCCCGTTCTCATTTGTGACTCTCCATGGCTCCCAGGAATTTCCCTTTTTAAGCTCACAGCTTGATGGAAAGGTAATGTAATCTTTCCAAAAATTAGTTTGTATAAAAAGCAAACAATCAATTGGACCATGATGAAATCTCTCATCTGAGTTATTTGGTATATCAAGATTGTTAAATCCAGGACTCCTGGGGCAGAATTCTTTTCAAGATCTTGAAAGTAAGTAATAGTTTGAAGGGAATGGAAATTTTTTTCAACATTTCTTCTGACCTCCTGGTTATGAAAGACTTATTTAAGAAATGTATATTAACATACTGACATGCACTCTTACTGGTTCATTTATGTACGTGCAGCAACACACTCATAGACATGCACTGTCCTAATTACCTCATAGGATCTTGGGATTTAGAACTGGACCTCAGAGGTCATCTAACCTGATCCGCCTTCTCCCCACCCCCTGACATTTTACTGGCACAGGAGGTAATTGGGGGGGGTCCTCACTGGAGATCTTTAATTAAAGATTGGATGAACACTTCTCAAGGAGTAAGATTTAATTCAGTGAACTTTTATTAAACACCTGCAGTGGGTAAGATACATTATGCTAGGTGCTGAGACAAAAGAGGAAATAAAATCAAACAGCTGCTGCCTTCAAGGACTTTGATTCAACTGAGTGGGATAAGGTAAGGGGGTGGGGTGAGGAAACAGTTCTGCTCATATATGGGTTGGTCTAGATGGCCTCTGATGTGCCTTTTAACTCGGAGGTACTGGTACAGATGAGGAAACTGAGGCTCAGATGGGTTAAGTGACATCCATTTTCTAATGTTGTATAGGTTGTAAGTGACAGACCCTGAATTCAGGTCTTTAGGCTCTAGATTCAGTGCTTTTTCCACCACACTGCCTTCTTTATTTACACCTCAAGGGTATATGCATGTGTACACACACATACACACACACACACATACATGCACACATACACATACATACATACACACATACATACATACATTTTTTAGGCTAAAACAGGCCATGAGAACTATAACTCCATTCATTACTCTGGGGAAGTCATTGCAGAATGCCTTATGGGAGAAACAGCACAAAAGTTATTTCGGCCTCCTGGGAAGCTCTTAAGAGTAAGGTCAAATTTTTGTCTCCTCTTTTTTTTTTCTTTAAAAGGTGAAAAAACAAAGAGAAACAGCTTCAAAGGGTCAGAGAAGCCCTTTTTACAGGAAGAATAGGATCTCTGGCTGTTTAAAGTTCAATTTGAGTTATCCAAGCAGGGGAGCTGACTCACCCTGAGGAAGGAGGGAGCTGGAGCATCTGTTGGGGGGGGGAGGTAAAAATCTTGACAGTTATTGACGCTGAGGACCAGCTGCCCTTGCTGGTGTGGATCCTGTTTGGGGCAGGGGGGAGGAGTAGAGAAAGTCAGGGCCAAGATTTGCCCCAGATCTTGAGTTAGATTCTGCTTTTGTAACATGAAGCTCAGCTTCTTGCTAGGCTGGTAGGTTCTCAGTCAGTGCCCGGGGAAGCTGAAGGTGAGATGCTTCCCATTGAAGTGGGGGTCCTGACAGACAGTGTTATAATTCTTTAATTGTCCATCACTACTTTAGCCCCTAGAAGATGATCAGGGGAGGAGGGTAGGCTGAATAGCCTCCTAATCACCCCCCACAGAAGACGTTTATTTTGTAGGATTTTAGAGGAGTAGTTTCCTTGGTTAGGGCTGTTTTCCATGGGGTTGTTTTAGTCTTCTGTGAGGCAGCATGACTTAATGGGTAGAAAGCTGGCCTCAAAATTAGGGTTCAAATCCAGCTTCTGATATATAGCAACCACATGATCCCGAGCAAGTCACTTAACCTCTGTGTTCTAGGCAATTCTCTAGGGCTATACATCACAAAGAATGTGATATCCTGCATTGATAGAGTTCTCTCTATCAGTGAGATGATAGTTCCCTATTCCTTTACCTTATTAACCTCCACATCCCCTTTTCTGTTTTCTCTTGGGATTTGGGGCATGGGTGGAGAACTTGTAGCCTTGACGCCACATGTGGCCCTCTAGCCCTCAAGTGTGGCCCTTTCCGAAGGTTCCTCACCCCTGATATGGGGAAATAGGTGGAGGGGAGGGTGGGTAGGTGTCATTAAGGTTCCACCACTCACAACCTTCTCCTCCTACCTAGTTAAACTACAGGCATTCCTCACTTTATAGTGCTTCATTTTATTGGACTTTGAAGATATTGCACTTTTCATGAATTGAAGGTTTGCGCCATTTTTCCAATACCATGTGCTCACATTATGTCTGTGTCACATTTTGGTAATTCTCGTGATATTTCAGACTGTTTCATTATTATTGTATCTGTTGTGGCGATCTGTGATCAGTGATCTTTGATATTACTATTGCAATTATTTTGGGGTGCCATGAACTGAGCCCATATAAGACTGAATTTAATCAATAAGTGTGTGATTTCTGATTGTTCCACGACCAGTAGTTCCCTAGTTTTCTTTTTCTTCTCGGGCCTCCCTATTCCCTGAGACACAATACTGAAATTAGGTCAGTTAATAACCCTACAATGACCTCAAAGTGTTGAACTGAAAGGAAGAGTCAATTGATGCAACAAACTTCATTGTTGTCTTATTTTAAGAAATTGCCATAGCAACCCCACCTGATCAGTCAGCAGCTATGAACATGGAGCCAAGACTTTCCACCAGCAAAAAAAAAGATTACAACTCACTGAAGGCTCAGAAGATGGTTAGCATTTTTTAGCAATAAAGTATTTTAGAATTAAGGTATATGCTTTTTTAAAAGACATAATATTATTGCACACTTAATAGACTACAGTACAGTATAAACATAACTTTTATATGCACTGTGAAACAAAAAGAATTGTGTGACTTGCTTTATTGTGATGTTTGCTTTATTTTGGTAGTCTGGAACTGAACCCACAATATCTCCAAGGTGTGCTTGTACTTAACCCCTTCTAATTTACCTCCGGCATTTCATTTGGACCCCCACCCCACCCCTTTTTTAAGGAGAATCCATTGTCCTCATTAGCCTGAAAACCTGGACTGTAGTCAGAGAGCTGTAGCACAGGCCTGAGACCAGTAACCCAGAGTTTTAACAGCACTCACATTTCTGATCTTTCTTTGGGGACCTTTCCGAATGAATGATTTAGATTGAGAACTTAAAAGGTACCAAAGAGTACACTTAGTCGAACACCCCCATTTTACAGATGAGAAAACAGAAGCCTAAGGAAGCTAATTGAATTGCCTAAGGTGACACAAGTTAAAAGTAGCAGAGCTTACAAATCCAAATCCAGGACACTTTCACTGTACGATGCTGGCAGCTCAGATAGGAGAGATACTGTAGGGTTATTAAGCCCCAGGACCACTGAGTGGTTCTTATCCAAACAAGGCAAGAAAGAACCCTTCTCCTAATCTGCTAAATGCCAGTTTGGGAATAAGAATCTCTGAGGGAAAAGCTGGCTGAGTCAGGCTTCATATTTGGAGTGACTGACCAGGGATAGAGGACCCTGATCTCTGCTGCTGGGTCTTTGACCCCAGAGCTGGGAACAATGCCTGCTTATCTCAGCTTCAGCCTGAGTTTCTGCCTCTCAGGCCTAAGTGTAGAAACTTGGCCAGTACAATGCTCACGCTCTCAGGACAAGGGAGGTTATCGCCTCATGATGCTGACTGATGTTTTGAGAAATGGTCCCTAAAGCGTTTTGGCTTCTCAAGTTCTTGGCCACATGCAAGACTACCAGACCATCTATGACAGAGAATCATAGCTCATGAGAGCCAAAAAAGGGAAGGACAAGATGTTACAGTAGAAAGGCTACGTAGAATCCAGAAAGACTTGGTTCAGATCTTCTTTTCTATACTCCTACTAGTGTGGCCAGGATGGGCAAGTCACTTAATTCTTTTGATCCTCAGTTACCTCCTCTGTAAAATACCTGTAATACTTATCTCATAGTCCTGTTGTGAGGATCAAACAAGGTGGTATATTGTAAAGTGCTTTTTAATCTGAAGTTACCATAGTAATTTCATTTATTCTTCTTCTTATTAGAAGAACCCTAGAGATTATCTAAAACATACCTAAAAGGGTATAACACAAAATTCTGGATGTTATGTCATTGTAGATAGTGGAAAATTTGTAAATAATTTTGGTTAATATAAATTTTACTTACCATGGCATGGTAAACTTACTATTTTCAAGATAAACAATACTTGCCTATTACACATACACATTAACCTCAAAAAACATGAGACCATGAGCTTGTAAAGGACTCAACAGAAAAGGCTATTTTTATTAAAGGGAAGGGGCAGCTAGGTGGTTCATTGGATAGAGTGATGGGTCTGGAGTCGGGAAGACTTATCTTCCTGAGTTCAAATCTAGCCTTGGACACTTACCAGCTGTGTGACCCTGGGCAAGTCACTTCACCTTGCTTGCTTCAGTTTCCTCATCTGCCAAATGAGTTGGAAAGGGAAATGGCAAATCGTTCTGGTATCTCTGCCAAGAAAACCCTAAATGGGGTCACAAAGAGTCAGATACGACTGAACAACAACAACAAGAACATTGAAGGGAAGCTGTCTTCTGACTCTACTTCATGTTGT